AAAGTCGTTAAACTTCTGTATAATACATTTGTTGTCAGTTTGGTGTGCTAAAGATGTTGGTGTCCTGACAATGAGACTCAGTTCAATGGAAAAAATATTCGAGCTTGGTGCGAAGACATGAAGATGGAGCAACATTCCACATTAGTAGCTCATCCACAAGCGAATGGCCAAGTCAAGGTAGCTAACATTATCATACTGAACGATTGAAGTCGAGGTTGCAGAAGGCCTCGGAGGCGTGGGTTGAGGAGCTAACATCGGTCTTATGGGCATATCGAACCACCCCGTGGTCGACCACAAAAGATACCGGTTTCAGGTTAGCATATGGGATGGAGGCACTTTTCCCAGTGGAGATCGAGCTGACCTCGTAGGGGTCTTCAACTTATGACAAAGAACAAAATGAAGAGTTGGCCTGACCAACATTGGATACGATCGAGGAGCTAAAGAAAAAGGCCGCAACTCAAGTCTCATCGTACAAGCAAAGGATGAGGATTACTCATGACAAAAAATCAAAGTTCAGCGTTTCCAAGTACACGACCTGGCCCGGAAGAGGATCGATGTGCTCAAGCACGTGGGCAAGCTCGAGCCCAACAGAGAGGGGTCTTATGTGGTCGAACGTGTCCATGTTGGAGGAGCCTATTCTTTGAAGGATGCAAATGGGAGGTCACTACCAAGGTTATAGAATGTTATGGACTTAAGGAAATATTATGAATAAACTTGTTCTTTTTGATTCTATATAATTCATGCAATTGTCAATATCAATGAAGATGATCATTATTATGAACTATTTGTGGTCGACGTGTTTAGATTGACCTCAGTGGCAGGTCATCGTGTAATCCAAAACCAAAGCATGATTAACGCCTCTGAGCTGGCTGGTCACTTACTTGGACGACCCTAGAGGAGGATTGGGCAAGTGTCGAAGACAAAAATTCAGCATGATTAAGGCCTTCGGACTGGTTGATCGCTTGTTAGAACGACCCTAGAGGAGTGTTGGGCAAGTGTCGCAGATAAAAACCAAGCAGGATTAAGGCCTTCAGGCTGGCTGGTCGATTCCAAAAGAGGGTCGTGTTCAAAAACCCAGCGTGATTAAGGCCATCGAGCGGGCTAGTAGACCCTAACGGGCGGGTTGGTAGAAGACAAAGACCTAATATGATTAAGGCCTTTGGGCTGGCTGGTCGACCCTAATAGGCGGGTTGGTAGATGACAAAAACCCAACATGATTAAGGCCTCTGGGCTGGCTGGGCGACCCTAATAGGCGGGTTGGTAGAAGACAAAAACCCAACATGATTAAGGCCTCCGGGCTGGCTAGTCGACCCTAATAGGCGGGTTGGACAAAGAAAAAAACAGAACGATTAAAGCCTTCAGGATGACTAATTGACCCCAAAGAAGGGTTGAGCATTGGTTGAAGACAAAAAAACCCAGCATGATTAAGGCCGTCAGGCTAGTTGGTCGACCTCACGGGCGGGAGAGGCATAGATCGATGATCAAGTAATGCGTTATAATAGAAGTTAGTGCAATAACACGTTTCTAAATACAAAATCCGACGGCCTCAATAGAAGGTCCAACACATACAACATAAAAGACAAAATTATGTCCCAGTATGGAGCTATTTCGGGCGACCTCAGCGGCAAGTCGACTAACTATGGTAATTTATTGTCAAAATTGCAAAATTTTTCTAAGTATGACATTTATTATAGAGACCTCAGTCGTAGGTCAAGTGATTAAGGTAAATTTTACTCAAAAGTTTACTAAGTCTTGAATCATTCTTGAAGTCTTCAGTGGAAGGTTGATGGAAATGATTTTTTTCTATACAAAACCGCGTATTTCAATTGAGTATGAGATTACTTCTGGAGAAGTCAATGGCATATCAAATTATGAAAATGAATTGCATGATTGAATTTTTTCTAAGTAAAGTAACGAGCATGATGTATAGATTACGAAGATGAAGTATTGCATTGCAAAATACAAAGTTAGAGAACCAATGTTACATGAGTACAGAACAGTTCAAAACATTGTTTAACATAAAGACATTCACTGTGGAGGAGTTGGAGTCATCTCCGAAGCAACCTGGTTAGCAGTGGAGTTGGTCGTCGCCTCGACCCCAACAACCTGAGTGTGGAACCTGAGAGATAGGTTGAACCACAATTTTCTTCTCCAGGCCTCGGTGAGGAAGACATTCCACAAGCGTGTTCGACCATCACACATGATCATATGGGAGATTGGGGTCGCCTCATACCCCTTAGGGATTATTGAGAAGTTGATCAATGATAGCCTGTTGGTTGAAGACGACTGGGAAAGTCTTGAGCCTTAGCCTGCTCCTCAGTCGCACTCATGGCGCAACCTATGTACTGTTCAGCAGGAGGGATGAGTTTCATCAAGAAGCTGAGGGAGCGAAAAAAGTCCTCGACTACCTGCTCTCGATAGGCGTATAAGAAAATAGCACCCAACTTTGAGGTGCAGAAGTACTGTCGACCCTCTATGCGACCTTGGTAGAGAGCAGTCAGGGTCGCCTTATCAAGATTGGTTTCGGCCTCTCCCGGTGAAACCTCTCCACTTCAAGATCATCTTCCTTGGCGCGGAGGTCATCTTTGTGCTGACGATCTTTGTTCGACAACTCCTGCGTCAAGTCGAATTTGAAGTCATAGAAGCAATTGTTTTCGACCACCAATGCCTTGTTTTCTGCTTTAAGGGCTTGGACTGAAGGACCATACCCGCGGACGCTCTCATCAAGGATGGGGACCATAGCTTACAGAACTATAAAGAAGAACAAGTTATACGATATATAACATAATCATAAACACACATACCTTCAATTACTAAACAGTAGGAAATACGTGGGCTAAGCCCTCGGCGCAAAAATTCGCACGACCTTGTGGGTGGACCTTTAATGTTCGGTCTCGACAAGAGGAAAAAATTTCATCAGAGCAGAAGTGATTGCAGATACATCAACGTCGATTTTGATAGCCCGTGAAGCATCAACCTTAGTAGTCGGAGCAGTTGCCTGAGGAGTCTCGGCCTGAGTAGTCGAGGCATCAGTCTGAGCTTACACTTCAACACGTTCGGTGTGTGCTTTTTTCTAGGGCGGGGAAGTCCACTGAAGTTTGATCGTTTTTTGTCGGTGACCACCTCAGATTGAACTCGAGGGTGGCTTGGTCAGAGGTGGCTCTTGGATCTTTTTTCGATCTCGACAGAGAGGCCTTTCCCCTTCTCGCCAAAGCTGGACGAGGAGACCTTTACCTTGAACAACTCTTCTGCAAGAAAGAAAGGAGATAAAGTTAAAATCACAACAAGTATGTACATAATGCATTAATGGAAAGACATTTTACCAATTTCCTCATCGGTTAGACGAGGATAATGCCTCGAGGAAAGACCGTAGCTAGATAGTAGTTGTTCATGGTCGACTAGGACAACAGACACAACGGGAGCACTATTCCACGGCTTGATCCAGAGGCAGAAGGTAGAATCGGAAGGGAGAAGTGTAACCTGACAAGGTAGATAATCTAAGCAGGTCGACTCGAAGGATAGATGAGAAGAAGATCAAACGATTTACTTATTCTTCCACTTGGGAATGTTAGAAGGGAGGTCGCTTATGAAATTCTCTCCGTTACGAGCTTGGAGATACATAGTTCCTTTCTGCTCTTCGGCGACATAGCATTAGAGAAAAAAAATTTGGTCGATATGACGTAGTTTAAAGTATGAAAGAATTAAAAAAATGACTAAGTGACGAATCGAGTTGTGTGATAGTTGGTTGAATGGGACTCGTATAGTATACACAAGTCCGACAGAGTTTGATTGGGAGGAAACCTATCCATCTGGTCATAGAAAAAGGTATATTAACCGGTTGGAGGGTGGTCGAAGGTGTCTAGAGGTCAAGGGAACACATAATGCCAGTATTGGGGAGGCAGCAATTGGCTAAGAAGCTGCCGAGCCAATCTACCCTTATTTTGATGAAAGAGTTAGGTTGACGGGCAACAGTCACCATGTCTTCGGCTGTGGTGTGAGTGGCACCAAGAATAGGTCGAGCCATGGGGATGGAGCTGGTCATTGTTCAGGCCGACGAGGAGAGTCCGCTTCCTCTTTGTCATCGGTATAGGCACATCGACCAATTTGAGAGGTCGAGGTCGATACCCACTACGTACACAGTGTGATACGAACTATCACTTTATATAAAATAAAAAAGACCATTCCAATTTTTTCTAAGATAAATTCAATTCTCTCAAGCCGATACAACAACAACAACATAGCCTTTTAGTCCCAAGCAAATTGGGGTAGGCTAGAGATGAAACCCAAGAGAACCAATGGTAAGAAAAACACAAAAAGGACTCAAAACAAAAGGAAGAGATTGGAGCAAAAAGAGAAAAGAGTAAAAATCACGATTCTGGCCCGTTGATTGTTAGCCTCCAAGCGCTTCTATCCACCGCTAAATCCTTGGAGATATTCCAATCTTTAAAGTCTCTCAAGCCGATACAATAAAATATTTTCGGTAAATTTGCTGGTTGAGATTTGTAAATTTATTTAACTACATAAGACATAAATTTCAGCTAAAAACAACAAAGTTGTTTAACTACTATTGTGCTATCTAGGTTTTTTTGCCGTCCAAGCTGACATTGGATTCCAGACAGGCAAACAACCTTTATTTCTTTATCTATTTTTACCTTTTGTTGTTTCTTTTAAAAATCGAAAAAATAGGAATAAAGGCCCACAAGAAGAGGACAAACTCTAACGTTCTAATGACTGGACAGGCCAGTAGCAACATTTAGTTAGATTTTAATAACACAGCACAGCAGCGAACAGACATCCTTGCTGTACAAATACACCCACCACCCATATATTAATAACACCTCCACGTGGATGTGGTCTACATAATTATTTCCAAACAAATCCAAACTGTGTCAGATGTTCATATAGTAATACAAACAAATCAAGTCCCCAAAATTAAAAATTTCCTGCATCCAAACACATATCATCAATATCCATAACAAAACACCTAACAATGAGGAAACCAAAATGGGAATCAAAACACACACACACACACATAAATGCATCCCATCAATAAATTGTCCTCCATAATATGAATAGATATAGATATTTCCTTATGTTCCCTATGGTTTGTTCTTCCCTCTATTCACATCCACAACCACTATAGAAAACTAAGCCAATAATAATAATCCAAACAAATATATAAATATATAAAAATGATAACCATAGAGAAACCCAACGTGCGAAAACATCATCATCACACGGACGAGACGTGGGCCCGAGCCACGCGGTGGTGCCGCCTTCCACGGCCAAACGTGACAAAATCGAACCTTCTGAGCCGTTCAGCCTCCTTATCGAGCACTACACACTCGGGCAAGGGACTCTTGTAACGAGCACGGTCATAACAATACGAGTACTGCAAGTGTTTGTTCCGAAAGCCCGACATTCTCGCCCTCTGCTGACGTGTCATGCCAGCTGGCGCCGAGGCGAACTCACGGGCGCTGTCGCATTTGGTCTGCTCGATGGGGTCCACCGCGCACCCGTGGAGGACAAACTCGGAAAACCGAGCAATGTAAGGGGCGTATTTGTAAATGACGCGGTACTTGCCCCCGTTTGTGGCCCAATTCGAGGCGTCCCATATGGTGGCGTACAAAGACATGGGCTTTGATGGGAAATCACCGCCCATTGTTGATGTCCTTTTGACCTCTCTTATGGGAATGTTATCGACATAAAAGCTGCACATGTAGATTCAAGGGTGTTATTAGGATCGAGAGTTTCATCATTGAGTTGTGGATAATGCAGTTTTGTGGGGTTGGGTAAAAGCAAAGAAAAAAAGGTATCTAAACAGTTGGCAGATTGGGAAAAAGAAACAACATAAAGAAGAATAGACATAGGTTCCTTTTAATTTTTATGGCTCATGCTGTTTTTCATGGCCCCCTTTGAAGGGAAAGGTGATGATTGCAATTCAAGTTGATAAACAGTTCATCCTGTTTTCCATTTCATTTAACTTTTTACATTCAATTCCAACGGAAGAGCTGTGGGGTAGACAGACACTCGACAGTGCCATTTTGGTTAATATTCAACCATAGGTAACGAAAAAACAAAACATCTAGGAATGATTTCAATGGAACATATTCTTTCAAAGTTTAGCAGCTAGAAGAATTTGAACCCAAAAACACTGCTAATCAACAAAATGTTTGACTGAATTCGAGATCAAATATAAGTAGTTAGTAATCAGAGGTAACTTCTATTATAGAACTGATCTAAGCATTAGGTGAACTATAATTAAACACGACACGGACAAATACAACCAAAATTCTATCAAGTACATGAATTTCCATGTTCATGTTAGCGTACTAAGCACAACTTCGCATGAATTTACATGTTCTTGTTAGTGTACTAAACACCAATTCTTCCCTGCCAATATTTCCAGGAGTCTAAATAGCATTAAAGACGACGACATAGTGCCAAATTGGAGCGTTGGATGCCAATACTACATACATTATTTACTTCCGGAAAAAAGGAAATCATGCTTTATTTTTTCAACATGGATGGCTGGCATTACAATCGAGAATCCAGAAACAGTAAAACAAAAACAAATTAGAAGAATAATTCTTCAATAAAAATTAAATTATAAAGGCATGAAACTACCAAAATGGGAAAATAAAATCGAAATGGCACATGATACACTAACAGTCTTTCAAGATTATTATTTACTTACAGAATCACATTTTCAGTCCAGAGGATGCTGTATTGATGGAAATCCTCAGTTGGATCAAACCAAAGGCCGTATCTTTCTTCCCTTCCGACACTTGTGCTTCCATTACCGTATATATTTGTCTGGACTCTCCAATGTTTTCCTCTTATGTTGCCCAGGAATTCAAAATCTATCTCGTCATGGTTTTTCTCGTACACGTCACCATTTGACATCTGTAAACACAAAAGTTTGGAGAAAGAAACAAATTTGCATAAACACACTGTTAAATTAACCAATTGGATCAAGAATCCACATATAACATCAATACTTATTTTATATCAAGATGGAGATTGCAAACTATAATTTTTCATTATAAATTTTAAGAAAAAGAAGTAAAATATACAAGTAAATTCTGTTTAATGACTTTGGTGGATCCTTATTAATCATTAATTCAAGTTTTGTAAACTTGGAATAATGAAAAAAAGGCCCCTCTAATCTATGTATTTAACTAACATAAGGAAAAGAAAAATGCAAAACACTAACCCTGCAAGATTATTGACTAGAAAATCATTGCCATCTGTTTGAGAAACAAAAGGCAACGATAGGGAGGCATAGTCTTTTGGAAATTAAGGTCATGTGCTAAAAACTTATACATTAAAGAATCCAAGACAGACTTCCGAACAAATGGAATACACCGCAAAAATTAAATATAAAAATATTAATAATCGTTTTTCACTTACATAAAAGGCAACCACCACACCAGCAGTGTAATCTGCGGGGAGCTTAATCGAAGCACTGAAATACCCATGAAGATAAACCTCCTGAGACACGAATCCAGAACCTGAACACACAAAACCATCAATAAAAATCCAATCTTTACTCAGAAATAAATAAATATCCAAAAGAAACTGAAAATTTATGCAAAGACAGAAAATTTTAAATCTTGACAAAACAAATATCACTACTTAAAAGAAAAGGAAAAAATTTGACCTGTTCTATCATCCAACGATATGTGGACCGATTTCCCATCCTCAAGGACCATCAAATTGCCATCCCCGAAAAGATGCGAGTAGCCTTCATCAAAAGACAGTATTGAAAAATTTCTGGAAAGCCCACTTACCATTAACACCAGAAAAGCTGAACAAAACACGAACATAAAAATACTCATATGCGAATTCATGGCTCCTTCTTCGAAAGATAAAAGAAAAAAAACCGACCCCTTCTCTCTATAAGTGTGGATTATTCCTAAAAATGAAAACACAAGTTTTGGAGGAACTGCTATTTGTCCAGATTCTTCTTCTGGACGTTTATTGTATGTATTTAAATTGAAGAGAGACGTTTATTAGAAGCCAAACGGGAACGGTGCGTACGTGTGTGAGAACGGAAGTATCGAAGGTGATGTGAAGGAAGACAAGGGAGTGTGTGATTTTATTGGGTGGCGAGACGGAGATTGAATGAGCTGTTTAATATGAACAATTTTCTTTCTTCATTAGTTGAAGGGCTTTTTATTATTTGTTAGTTGTTGAAGATATAAAAGGGTTTTTACTTTTTTTTACTGAAATCGTCAAATCCCTTTTCAATTTCAAAATCAGACATTAATTTGTTATTTTTCCATTGCATCCCTAATTGTACTAATTTGTTCCACTTCATTCTCTTAACACTAAAAAAATTACATAAATCAAATAAAAATGTCACATCAACCCATTATACTATTTTTCTCCTTTTTTTTTTTAATAATTTTTCTTTCTACGGCTTTTCTTTTTTTTTTTCCTTGGAGGTTCAGTTTTCTGGCGAACGGCGAAAGACGTGAAGAACTCCGACGACAAGAACTCCGTTGAAAGACATGATCCCGATATGGACAGACGGCCCTCTCCGGCAACGTTATGTCTTTCTCCAGCAATATTTAGTTGTTTTTGGCAAAAAATTGAGGTAATAAGTAAGTGATGGAGACGAGACCGCAATCGCGTTTTTAGAGAAATATGATCGGGTCCCACTTTAGATTATTTATTTTATATTATTATTGATTCTTTTATTATTCTTTCCCTAGTTATATTATTTTGTTTGGTAAGTAGATAAATATCTAGCTAAGCTTTTTAGGCAAGATAAGATTGTTAGGAGACTTAGGACTCTATATATTTATCTCTTGTGCATCAAAGCAGATTGGTTGTTGTTGCAATTGAAAAGAATCTTGTGAGTTTTTACTCTCGTATTTTCCATTCGTCTACCACACTACATCAGTTGGTATCAGTAGCCAACACGATTGGTGATGCCGCCGCGACGACAAAATGCAATCGACCGGCGTGACACTGCCATCTACGATCGCTGCCATCTACGATCGGTTTCAACAATTGGAGGACCGATGGATGATCGATTCACGGATCTGTCAATGGGTATCGAGGAATTACGTCCCATTATGCGTACCATTGTGGAGGGTGTGCATACGAACCATGACGTCGGCGACCGGTGCGTGCGGGGGGGTTTCGCGGCGGACGTGGTGGTCTTGGTCTAGGCGGAACGCCCCGCCGGCGACAGCCACAACCGTTGCCTAATGATGAATAAGGCGAGGACACCATTATTTGTCCCATTTTTGTTGCGTTTTTCATTGTCTTTTAGTCTTTAGTTTTCCCCTATTTTAGGCGTTTTAATTGGTTTTTAGGTCGTTTTGTAGTCTATTTCGTGGTTCGCTTTATTTTAGTCTTTCTTGTGTTTTTCAGTATTTTTTCGGGTTTTCGTCGTCGTTGGTGTGCAGGTTAGAAGTCCCGAGAGGATCAGATTTTCTGGCAAAAGTTGGTCGTGCAAGCATAATAAAATAGAAGGTTTCGTTGGCGACAAACAGAAAAAAATAGAATCGAATTCCGAGTCCAAACGAGTGTAAACGAGCCCGAAAAGTGAAGAGGTGAACAAAAACCAATCGGCGCCCAGTTTTAGTCGTCGCGGCCGCGGAGGAGAGGTCGCGGCCACGAGGGTCCCAAAAGTCCCACTTCTGTCTAGATGATGCCGCGGCCTCGGGGATGGTCGCGGCCGCGAGCTTTCTTCACCGCGGCCCGCGGGATTCTCCGTGGCCGCGGAGGTCGCGACGTGCAGAAATTTAAGTACGGATTTTAAATTCGATTTTGAGGAGGTTCTTTGGAGGTTTGAGCTCTCTCTCATTGGAGAACAGAGAATAAACTCTACCTTCGTCTTTTTACTCGTTTTTCATCTTTCCTTCATAATTTTCGACGTCGAACTCGGATTTGCACTTAGATTTCTTCCTTGTTTTGGATTTAAGCTTGATTATCTAATTTAACCTTGGAGTTTTATCAATTGTAAAGGTTTCTCTTCACTTGATTATTGATTATGGATTCTTTGATTGATATGATTGTTTGTGTTGAGGATTCAATTATGATCGGCTAAATTCATATGCTAGGGATAGGGGATTGATGTTTTGATATCGTTTGTGATTGTCGGGCTCAGGTTGTTCAAATTCATACGAGTTAATCTTTTATTAGGGTTTTTCAATTTTTAGCTTGAGTTTTGAGAATTGTTGAAGAGTGACACTTCACCTTGCAATTGTTTGGATTGAATTCGATAAATTCGTGCTTGATGTTTTTAACTCTTAATGGACTAGTCGATTAACCACCCTCTAGTCTACTTTAATCGACTCTTAGAACTGAAAGGAGAGGAGTCGGTCGAAATAGGCTCGTATGAACTAGGCTTGTTCGTAACTATATTGCCTAGGAGTTAAATGAATTGTTAATTTGCCGTTCCAGTTTGTTCTCTTGTTACGAAAAGTTATTGAGAATGAGTGCTTGAACGTGTCAATTAGCCAAATCACTTAACCGAACAATCTTTTGCTTGATGATTGCACTTTCGAACCAAAACGGATATCCCCGACTCCCTAGCTCCTTAAATTCTACTTGTTCTTCGTTGATTGCTTGCTATGTATATTTGCTTTAATTGAAGTTTTTCGTAGTTGATAATCAAACCAATCATTTGAATTAGAATGTTTAGGAAATTTATGTCTTTTATTAGTGCTTGAATAAACGTACAGAATATTCCGGCTGACCTTCCTCGTGAGACACGACCCGGTGTTCGAATCTTTTGATTCTACTCTAGAAAAATTATTTACAACAACCATCTCGGAGGTTAACCCTTTCGGCGAGTGGCATCCTCGATGTGAAGCACCAGGGTTCTTCGACACACACGGCGGCCAAAACTGGCGCCGCGATTGGGGCAATCCGCGCGTTGTCACGGCCTTTGACGGCGAGCAGCAGCGTCGCGAGTGGGGATAGTAGCGAGGATGTGGGCTTCGACCTCGAGCAATAGCGCCGCGACTGAGGACTTCTGTGCGACGGCGTGGCCTTCAACGGCGAGCAGCAGCGCCGTGAAGGGGGCCGCATCGCGAGGGCTTCGCAGGTTTTGGCAGTGAAGAGCAACAACGACATCGTGCGATGGAGGGCATCGGCGAGGCGCACTGGGAGTTAGGATTTTGGGTCGAGATTCTCGATTTTTCTAGTGGGCTTGATGTGACGGAGTTTCTTGATTGGTGGGCCGCAGTCGAGTCCATACTCGAGTTCAAATATGTCCTAGACGATAGACGAGGCTTGCTCGTCGTGACGCGGTTTCGAGGGCAAGCGACAACTTGGTGGATGCAACTCAAAGGCGAGGCGTGCAGCATCGTCAGGGCAAGACGAAGATCTCAAGCCCACTAGAAAACTCAAAGACGAAGATCTCAACTTGGTCTAAATTTAGTAAGCACTTTGAACGCAAATTTTTGCCTTTTAATTATTCTCGTTCAATATATCAACAGTTACAAAATTTGAGGCAAGGGCAACGTTCGATAAATGATTATATGGATGAGTTTTATCATCTCTTTACGCGTGTGGATATCCGAAACAATGGACCAAATCGTTTGCGGTATTTTGGTGGTTTGCGTGCCCTTAACCGGGATACACTCAATTATTCATGCCGGATTCGATTTTTTATGCACATCATTGGGCAATCCTTGTTGAGTAGTAGTTGGCTCGTCGGGTGGACCAGTCTTTTATTTCTTCGTCGCGAGCTGGAGCTGAGTTTAGTGAGTCGGGCTCAGGCCTGCAGGTTGGTCCTGCATCGGCTGGCGCAAATCTATTGTCAAGGTTGGCATAGGGGGATGAACGCACGGAAGCACCCAGTGAGGGTATTTAGCTATCGGCGGGGGCTAGGGCTAGGTCGGTCGGTGGACTGTGTTGCTTTTCTTGCAGCGAGGTGGGTTATCGGCATGTCACCTGTCCGTGGTTCGGTGGTTCACATGCATTGTTCACCAAGGAGGCCGGCGACCTTACATGACTGAAAAGATTTATGGGCCCTTGTGCGATGGTCCACCAGTCTTTGATGAGGAGGTCCATGTGGAACACGTCACGGGAGACATCGGTCCAACACTTCTTCTTTGTTGTTCCTGTTTGACTTTCCGTGCGGCACTGACATGCGTCAAGCCCTCCGAGGATGAGGATGAGGTTGTTAACTGTTGATAGTGTTATTCATGTCGCCCCAGCCGAACTTAAGCAGATGGCTGCATCCCGCCTCCATTCGAACAGTCTTGTTGATGAACGTGCGCATATGTCTGGGGACAAGGGTCGCGCACTTGCCTTCATCGATCTTTCTTGTCTCCCCGTGTCTCACCAGATGATGCGGTTCATCACCATCATATCTTTGCGTTCATGTAGTTGGTTCGGTTGACGAAGCGGACGGGGATGTTTTAGCTGCCATGGACCGGACTCCTCATTTGGATCGTGCTAGCTTGGAAGCTCGTCATACATTCATACTGTCTTGGTATTAAGGTCATTCTAGACCGAGAGAGAAGAATGTTGTGCTTATCATAGTCCTCATACATTGATACTGTCTTGGCTAGGTTCAGCATGCAAAATTCCAAGAAAGGTTGGTTACCTTTCAGGCATAGAATACCTTTATCCAAGGAGATGTCTCCAAAGACACCTCAAGAGATAGAGGACATGAAGTAGTGCTGCAAACAAAGCGACATTTGTGAACGAAAGCTCGTTCGAGCTCGTTCGTGTTCGTTAAGGGCTCGTTCGTTTAATAATCAATCCGAAATCGAACATGTAACTCAGCTCGTTTATTATTCTAACACGAACATAACCGAGCGTTCGCGAACAACAAGACTTTTAATAATATTATATATAGTATTATTATTATAATAATAATAATTATAATATAATAATAAAAGTAAATGACAAATAATTGACAACAACTCTCAACCACTTACTCATTTCTCATGCGTGTCATTCTTCTTCTTCCAAGAACTAGAAGCCCTAAGACCAAATTCTCTCCCTCGCCAAAATTGTAATCGTCGCCCACCCCGTCGGCCCATCGTTCTCAAGTTGTTTTCCGGTGATCTGCTCCACTCTCGCCTTTAAGCCGTTGAACCTTTAAACCTCGTTCACGGGATCTGCTCCAGTCTCCACCACTACCAGACACCAACTGCGACTTGCGAGTTTGACGAAGATCTGCTCCTTACATTTTGAAGCCACATACGCTGCTCCCTTGAGGACCACCAAACGCATCCCGTCATTATTTGCAAGTTTAATTTGGGCTGATTTTCCTTAATTACCCTCAATTTCTTTCTTCTGTACATTTCTTTGCATTGCAGAGTGAATATGTTTTGTTTAATTTAGGCTAATTTTTCTTAACTTTTTTTTTCTGTATATTACACTTGTTAAATTTTATGTATTGATTGTAATTAATCATAGATAAAAGCAGATTGGTAGAATTTCTTAAGTTTCGATAATCGAATTATTCGAGCTAATTGAATGCTCAAAAATATCAAATAATTTCGAGTAACTAAATGAGCCGAACATGAACGAACACGAACTTAACGAACAATCAACCGAACAAAAACGAACATAAATTTAGGCTCACCAAATAAACGAATGAACTCGAACAAGCTTGAATATTAGACGAACTTTATATTTGTCCCATTTTTGTTGCGTTTTTCGTTGTTGTTTTGTTATTATTTTCCTCCCGTTTTAGGTCTTTTATTTGGTTTTTAGTCGTTTTTGTAGTTTATTGTGTGTTTTACTCTATTTTGGTCTTCTATGTGTTTTTCATGTATTTTTTCAATTTTTCTTCTTATTTTTAGTGTGCAGGTAGGAAGTCTCGTGAGGAAGAAATTTTGTTCGAAAATTTCCCAGGCAATCATGGTTGTGTAGACGGGTTCGTTGGCGATATATACGAAGAAGCGGAGCTCAATTTCGAGCTTCGCAAGTCCGAACGGGCCCAAAACGCGAAGTCGCGCGAAACACGCCTTTGGTGTGCTGGTCAAGAGCTTTGGGAGAATATGATTTCAAGAATAATTTGGCCATGCAAGCATCATTGAATAGAGGGGTTTGTTAGTGACGCGTAAGAAAAAACAGAACTCAATTCCGAGTTCGAACGAGCCCAAACGAGCCCAAAACGCAAAGTCCCACAGCCCAGTCCTCCTTAGCGGTGCTATGCTTCCTTACCGACGACAGAGGCAAGCAGCTAACCTGCCTTAGCGGTGCTAAGGTTTGTTTTTTATGCAAAAGTGCGTTTTTCTCGAGCTTTTCAAGGGAGATGGGCATTAGGATCGANTCTTTCTTTTCTATTTTAGGGATTAAGCTTTGTAAGTGGATTCAAGACCTGACTTTGGATTGATTGTAATTTTTTCCTCTTTGAATTAATTCAAGAATTGAGTGGAAGGTACTGATTTTTTCCTCCCAAATCCCGTCGCCTCCCAAATCCCGTCGCCGTCTACACAATCTTTCGTCGCCTTCCTCAGTAGGGCCCGGCAGGTACTCGGTGGTGGCTCCACTGGCCTTCGCGGCCCTCTTCTGTGAGATGCGATGCTCTGAGGGGAGCTTTTTCGCCGGGGAGATGCTATCGTCGTTTTCCGGTTTCAGCCTCGGAGCTGGGAGTAAATGGCGGCGGCTATTTCTCCTCCGGCATCTCCGTTGCGGCGGCCCTCTGGCGATCTCAGGGAGAGGGCTGCGACCCCAATTTCCCGATCTAGGGTTTGGGGTGGAGTCTTTGTCCGACCATTTTGATCTTCTTGGCCTTAATCGGGTGTTGAAGTCGCGGTCGCCGGCTCTGGTGCAGGGCGATCGGCTTTGGTTCGCGGCGCAGGTCGGCTCCGGTTCTGGGTGTCGGTCTCATGGTCGATGGGCCTGGTTCAGTGTGTTCGTCGGCGTTTGTTGGGCTGGGCTATTTGCTCGAGGCTCGGACCATTGCTGTTAACTGTTTTGGTCTGGCTTTTTGGTCTCCGGGTGTCAGTGGAATTGTTCGTCTGGACGAGGATTGGGCCCGATGGCTCACGATACAGTTAGGCATTCTTTTGCAGTTTCTGGGTCGGGCTACTGGGCCGTGATTCTATCACTGTTGTGCTTGGTGTGGTATCCCGATTGGGGAAGGGCTTTAGTTATTGTTTTCTCTTTTGGTATTATTTTGTTTAGTGTTTGCTTGTTGTTTTCTGTGCTTAGTGTTTGTTAGTTGGTCTGTGTGTTTGTTTGTCTTTGTTTGGATATGAATACAGGCTAGGCATTGTGCAGTGGCTCTGTTATTCATGTTCCTTTATTTTCGGTTGTGGAGTTCTATAGGCCGCTTCGCGCGTGTCCTCTCAATTTTCTCTTCATGTTCTTTTTTAGGCGTGTTTTTGGTTTGGGCCGTTGGCCCCTGTCTCATTACCCTGTTGGGGTCTTAGATTACCCCGTTGGGGCCTTGTAATTTGTTTCTTTGCACTTTTGTGCTTTTTATAGTATATCTATCGTTCCGGGAAAAAAAAAAAGAATTAATTCATTAAAATGGTTGATTTGAGAAGAATGATTGATTGTGTTGAACTTATCTTATTTAGCTAATTCTTATTGCTAGGGATAGGGGATGATTGTTTTTGTTTAATTCGTATCTATGGGTCATGATTTGTTCGTTCTTGTGCAAGTTAATTCGATTAGGAATTGATGAATTCTTGTTTGATTGATTGATATAATTGAAGAGTGTCACTTCGATCTTGCAATTGGAAACAATTGAATGTTAATTTGTCAAGTTAGGGTTTGTTAATTTTATATGCTTAGTCGATTTATTCTCTTCTAATTTAATTAGCGACTTTTAGAACCGAAAGGAGAGAAGTTGTAGACCTAGGCTCGCATGAGGTAGATGATTTCGTAATTGAATATTCTATAGGTTTTGGATTGAAATACGTGTTTGTCGATGACTCATCCCTTGTTACGAAAAGTTATTGGTGTTCGATATGCTGTAAAAGCTTGGCTTTCAGATACTAATAATTCCATTTTGATCTGACAATCGTGTTTTAGTCAAAGTATTTATGTTTGCAGTTTATTTATTTATGCAATCATAACTCCATAATTTTACACTGTAGATAATATGGTTCATCTTGTCGAACAGAAAGATCATATTATCGGTTCCTTGTAAAATATAAATTTCTTGTTCACAGTTTAGACAGGCAGTGAGACCCCTGTTGGAAAAAGACTGTAGTGTAGTCTTGATTCAGTTGATCTTTAACTGATGGATTACACTAGTACTTATGATAAGTATTGAACGAACCGCAGAAGGATAAGATTTACTGATCGTTGTTATAATCTAGACTTTCAGTTATTGATGCGTTCTCTTAAGCTGTAAGATAATGTAAAATGGGCATATATATTTATTACTTATTTATTTGATTTAGCAAGGGCGATTCCTATTATGTTAGGATGACATACTCGTTATTTCAGTAAGCAAGAATATTTATATAGTGTGCCGTTAGAAATTATTTACAGTCACTGTGTCCCAGTGCGCTAGGTTGATGACGTCCCCGAAATAAGCTCAAGAAGTAATATTATGTCAAACCCTGCAGGTGGATAATTATCCGACATAATGATTAATGAACTGAGTGGTACTAATTTCGGAAATGAAGAAGTCAATTTAATTTAATTGTCAGTAATTAAATTAAGTTAAATGGGTAAATAATTTTTTCCAACCTGTAGTATACGTGCTTTTGGGATTTTCAACTTAAAGTATTTTTTGTTGTAAAATGCAACCTGAACTACATATATACCATTATTTGCACGCTCGACTACTTTTTCACCGTCCGATCATCTGTAAAAAAGGACACGTGTATGGTCAAGATGTGGTCGAGCGTGCAAATAATGATCGTATATGTAGTTCAGGTTGCATTTTACAACAAAAAATACTTTAGGTTGAATATCCCAAAAGCACGTATAGTACAGGTTGGAAAAAATTATTTACCCTTAAATTAATTGACGGACGTTATATCTTAAACATGGGGAGGTAATTCGGTCAACGGGATTAATTAATTAATTAATTAATTAATTAATTAATCATTTTGAGGTTTGATTTATTGAATAAATTGGAGCCAAATGGGGAAAGCAATAATAATATTTTAGTGGGATATATTATTATTTAATTCTAATTAGGATTTTAGGAATTATTTTTATTCCATAAATAATATTCCATGATTAGGAGAATATTCATTCTAGAATATTACCTAGGGTTAGGAGACTTGAGAGTCTTCTAGAAGGTGATGTGAGGAGAGAGGAATCATGAACTAATTGAGATTAGTTTATGGAGTGGAATTAGGATTCCTTAGCCTAATGGGATAAGTCCATATTTGGCACTTCCTTAAGGTCCCTAATGGAGCCTATAAATACACCATGTCTCAACTTCTTCCAATTATTATTAATTGAGCTCGATTTTAAGGTCTTATACAAGAGAGGAATATGGAGATTAATACATATTCGAGAGTTAGGGAGTTTCGATTAATCGCACCACCAACATTAGTCGAAGTAGGTGTTAAGGTAATCAATTAGAAGATCTTAAGGTGATTTATTTCAAACCTTGAAGATCTATTTTTTTTTGCCATCACCACCAGCCGACCGCCGCCGTCGATAGCCGCCGGAAATCGACGCCAGTGCCTATCGCCGCCGGAAGTCACCCGAACCCAGCCGCACGTAGCTGCGAGCCATCGCCCGTAGCCGCACGCCGCCAGGCCTCTTGCAAGCCTTCAGCAACGATGCACCGCAAGACCCACGCCG